CCGCCCGCCGCTGCTGCGTCTGCCTGCCGCGCGCGGGGAGCAACTGAGTCCCGGGTCCCGCTGGGGCTAGCGGCGCGCGGACCTCGTTCTCCACGGCACGGGGCTCGGCGGCCGCAAGGGCGTCGGGGTTGTAGTCCCGCCTGTGCCTCTGACCCTCTGTGCCCTGGGGCAAGGACCCCTCCCGTAACACTCACACACACACACACACACACACACACACACACACGCACTCTCACGCTCACACTCACTTCCTTTGGGCCTCAGTTTACCCAGAGAATAAGAAGAGCAATGCCGGCCCAGCAGCAGCGTAATCGCAGCTGCTTACCAGTGCTCGGCACCGCGCACCGAGCCTGGCGTACGTCCCTTCTCTCCTCGGTCCCGAGAGCGAGCCCCCGCGGCAGCCCCCTTTGCCGTCCGCGGGCGCGTGCCCGGTGCCCGGGGACCGTGTTAGCGCCGAGGGCGGTGCCGCGCGCTCCGGCCGCCAGAGGGCAGCAGAGGCCCCGCCGGCGGCGCGGGGAGGCCGCGGGCACCGCTTTTGGGGCTGGAGTGCGGGGCGAGCCTCCAGGTGGGGGTCTGGCGAGGTGCGGGGCGCGGGCCTTGGGGCTCCAGGCCGAGACCCAGCAGGAGCCGTCCCCCGCCCCGCACTCTACGGCAGGCTTCGGCGTCCCCTTTCGCCCAGCCAGGGATGCTCTGAAGCCGGCAGGGACTGTCCCCATCCTTTTCCTGTGTGGCACCCGAAGGACCAGAGACCTGCCCTTCCTTGCTCAAGCCTGGGCCAACGTGCCCTCCTCCCTCCCCCACAGAGTTTTGTGCCTTGAGAGTCGCTTGGGCCAACATTCCCATTTTGCAGCTGGGGGCGGGGGAGGGGGCGCTGGGCCTCAAAGCCCCGGGGTTAAAGCAGTCTCTTGCCTTCCCTGGGTCTCGGGTGCCTCTTCTGGAAAATAGCGGTTCTGGTTCTGATCGCGGAGGAGAAAGTACAAGCAGTGTAAGGGGCAGGACGTGGTAACAATAGCAATAGTAAATGACCCCTGGGCTCGCAGCCCCGGGGGTGGGGCTGGGGGGTTCCGGAGCCAAGAGAGGAGGCAGCAGGCTGATCAGTACCCCGGATGGGGCTGATGCGCTCAAGGGCCTGGAGCCCGGGGAAAGCCGGCGCTCCCCACGGCAGCAAGTCCGGTTTGGGAGAAAGCCAGGGAGCCGGTAGCTCCCTAGCTCCACCCGGGCACGCAGCTGCACAGGCCTGGGTGCTCAGGGCAGTGTCAGGGGCACCAGCCTGCAGCCCCCGGCTGTTGGCACAGCACCTGGGTCTCTCAGAGGCCATCTTATCCAGCCCCTCAACGACACGGATTCCCGCAGAATCGCACACCCTCTGCAGGGGACACCCGGGGAGGCTCTTTTTGTGCCAGGCACTGTTCTAGGTCCTTCCTTCTGGCAACCTTGAGGGGTAGGAACGACTTCTCTTGGTATTTTACAGATGGAGAAACTGAGGCAGGGGACATGACTTGGCCAGGGTCCCCAGGTAGTAGTGGCGGGGCTGGGGCTTGAACCCAGGGGGTCAGCAGTCCTGGCTCTTACCCACCTACTGTGACCCTCCTAAAGCTCTGGCCCCCACTGTGGGACATCCGTGCCCCGTTTCTCAGAGCGCACACCCCTCAGATCTCCCTGCCCCTCCACATCTGTCCCCAAGCCTCGTGTCTACTGTCAATGAGGTTTCAGAGACACACATCACTTGATGAGCACCCAAGGGCTCACCACTAGGCTCTGATTCTGGGTATCATTGTGTGACAGGCCAGCTGGGCTGGGTCCCCCCCACCCCTCTTGACCCTGCTGAGGCTGCTCTCCCCTGTGCTCCCCGTCTGAGATGAGAAAGAACCGAGCCGGGTGCCCTGCAGACAGGGCCGCTGTGGACAGTGGTGCAGGGAGTTCATTGCAGAAATGGACCAGACAAGGATGCGAGCAGGGGCTGGTCACGGCCTGGGCCTGCATCATCCCCGGATGAGGGGCCCTCTCTCTGCCTCCCATGAAGGCACAGTATGGGCAGCTGGGCTCTGAAATAGGATGGCTTCTGGCTCCTTCCTGATGGCCCAGGCTAAAGGGCCAGAGAAGGGAGGGCCACTGTGATGAGCAGAGGCTCAAGGGTGGCCGGGTCAAGGATTTGAACCCAGCTCTCCCTCGGGAGATCCAGGGGACTGGGACCCAGCCTGGAATCAGAGGCTCCCTCCCCCACCCCAGGTCACATGTCAAGGTTGGCGCTGACATCATGGCCCTGGCCCCTTCTAGCTGGTGAGCGCCCGTGGCTGGTCCTGAGCCCAGCCTGCATTCTCAACTACAATTCCTGGTAGCTTCTGGGCATGTCCATTGATAAGACATGTCCTCCCAAGTCAGCCGAGTTAAGTCCTGAGTGTATGTGTCATTCATTCCCCAAACCGCCACGTGGACCCGTGGGTCGGGCTGCCTGGGGCTCGTCCGTCCTGCCCTGACAAAGCCTTCAGGACGGCAGCGTAGCCTCAAACGCTGTGTGTGCAGAGGTCCTTGTGGAGGAGCGAGCTCCCTGTTCCTAGGGGTGTGCAAGCAGACGCAGGGATTGAAGCACTGGGTAAGATCAGACTAGATGCCTCCTGTGGCCCGTCAAGGCCGGAGATAGGCTCTGGATTCCAGAAACCCAAGAAGAGGGCTCGAGGAGCTCCCTGAGCGACGAGGGAGGCCCAGCCTGCACCGCCTGGTCACCTGCTGCATACATTAGGCAGGCGTCAATATCATGGCCCTTTTACAGGGCGGGGGACGGGGGCTCTGAGAGCTGCGTGCACGGGTGGAGTCTGGGCTCACGCTGCTCTCCCAGTGTCGCGAGGGGAAGGCCTAGCCTGTGTCCTTGGAGGGCTGGCGGCCTGCAGACAAGGCTGGGGCCTGGAGGAGGGCCAGGCCCTGTGCACTCGGCTCCGCGGTCAGGCTGGACCAACAGGCCCCAGATGATTACGGGGCCTATTCCTCCTGGCAACTTGAGGCCCGCGAAGAATTAGGAGAGAAATGTCAGCGTTAACCAGAGATGCCAAGTTCAGCCCCAGGGTGTGGGGGGAGACTTGGGTGCAGGGCCCAGGTCCTCTGGTCCCACCCAGGAAGCCCCACCCCATGGCTCCGGGAGCCCCCAGTTCTCTGCAATTCCTCCCCGCTCAGCGGGAGAGAGGGAGCATGAGCTTGGGGTGGGGCAGACCTGTGCCTCCAGGACAAGTCACCCAGCCTCAGCCGGCAAACGGGGGTGACCCCGGCCCCTGTGGTCTTGAGACAGCAGTGCTAGGCAGGGCCCCAGAGCAGGTGCACGCCACAAGTCCGCGGTCCCGCCGGGCCTGGCCCTTCCCTCCCTCTGCAGGTCAAGCATTGCTAGCAAATCTGGGGAAGCACACAAGCCCTCCCTCTTTCCTCAGCCACAGCGCCTTCCCAAGCCCACCTCATGGCAGCCTTCAGGGCCGTGCACGTTCCCATCCAGACGCAGGCCCGTCAGAGGCCCGAGGGGGTTGCGGTGTGACCACATTTGGACTTTTCTGATAACAGATCACTCCACAAAGACGATCTGTCTCCAAGGCCAGCTTCTCTAGGCTGGACCTGGTGGCCTGGGGTTCAGAGATCATGAGTGTCATGGCCCAGCTTTCTGCGAATGCGGTCATGCCCCAGGGGGCACCAGCCGGTGATGCTCCTCCCTCACTCGGTCCCTCAGAGCCCGCTGCTTTGGGCGCCCATGCTTGTTCTGACCACAGGGCCTTTGCATTTGCCATTCCAACTGCCTGGAATCCTCCAGTTTGCTCCCTCTGAGATCTCATTTGGGTCTCAGCTCAAATAGCACCTCCTCAGAGGGTCCCCGATCACCACGGCTAATGCGGCTCCCAGCCCTACCAGGTACTTTCATGTGGCTTTTAAATTTTCGGCATATTTTTCACTCTCTGATCATTTACCCGGGTGGCAGCTCACAGAGGCTGGGAGCTCCTTGGCATGTGGGGGTGTTGGGCCGCTGGGTGGTATGATGATACCTCTACCCTGAGCCTGGGCTGGCTCCCCAAAGGAAAGGGACAGAAGAAGGGGTACTGGGGCAGGGGTGAGGCCGGCAGCACAGGAAGCCCAAACATCCGGGCAAGTCCCTTCCCTGCCGTGTGTGGATGGCGGTGCCCAGCTCAGGGCTGACAGGCTTCAGCGAGAAGGAGGGCCACACCAGCCTGGCCTGGAGCCCTCAGGGGAATGCCCTACTCCCCGCAGCCCCAAACTCCCTCCCCTTGCCCCCTCCCCCCGGCCAGACAGAGAGCCGGAGGGGATGCCAGGGTCAGGGTGCCTTTATTGGTGGGTTAGGACGTACTGGGGGCTGCAGGGCAGGGGGGCTCAGTGGCCAGACGACAGCATGTCCAGGGCCCCCAAGGCAGAGGTTTCCAAGGCACTGGAGTGGCCCTCGCCGGGCGCCAACACCGAGCGGCGGCCGGGGCCCGTCTCCCCGCTGCAGGGCTTGGCACTCGGGGCAGGCCGGAGGCGACAGACGCTCCGCGACGTGGCCGAAGGCCCGGTCAGCTCCTCTTGTGGGACGGGGAGGCTTTCTGCTGGTAGATCTGCGTGGTGAAGGGCCTGCGGACAGGGAGAGAGGCTCCGGTCAGCAGGGCTCGGGAGGGATGCCACCGCCCCAGGCCTGCCCCCCGCCGGAGCGTGGTCGGAGGGGGTGTCCGCAGGGGGGCAGGAGGCCCAGGCTCCCTCAGCACCAGCTGCCCGGCCCCCCAGGCCCCACTGGGCCTGCTCGAAGCTTCCCGTGGGCCGCTCGGGCGGTGATGGGCAGTCGGGCCCCGCTCGGCGGGCGCGGTCCTCGTGTGTGACAGGTGTCTACTCACTCCTCGTACAGGATGGCGACCATGTAGACGAGGGCCACAACCGCGGTCAGCAGCAGGCCGGTGGGGCTGGCGTGCCTGTGGGGAAGATGCTCTCAGGTCCCGAGCCCGGCCTTCTCTCTCGGACCACGGCCCCCGCCGTCCGGGTCCTGACCCTCTGGCCGCTCGCTGACCGCCTATCCGGGCTGGCTCAGTCCTCAAAGGGGGGCCCACACTCCCTTTCCCATGTCCCCGGCTCCCCGGTTCGGGACACCGTGCGGATGAATTGGGAAGGAAAGAATGGCCTCTCAGAACCACCCGAGTGGCCAAGCAGATTTTTTTCTGCACAAGGAGGATGTTCCAGTGGACCTGCCCTCCACCGACAGTGTCCTCAGGCTGTTTTCTAGAAATGGGTCCAGTGCCCCGAAAGGTATGTGGAGTGTCCAGTGGGCCCTTCGTGGGCTCCCTGCTGGAAGAGCCTGGGGGCACCTGCTGTCCAGCTGGTCCCATGTTTTCTAGTCCCCTCGGATCCCCGAGGCTCCACAGGGGCTGGGCTGCGGCATTTGGATGGCCGGGAGAAGAGACAGAAACTGGTTCATGGGGACACACAGCATCCAGGAGCCTCAGGCTGGGGGCCCCAGGACATGTGTGCACCATGAGGCGACCCTCTGCCCTGTCCACGCTCCTTGGCCCAGGACCTCACACTGTCCCTTTGTTTGGGCACCCCAGCAGGGAGACCGAAGGCCCCTCCCCTATTCTGTGGACCCTGTTCGGAATCATCCTCTGGGGGCAGCGTGGGCTGTCTGCCCTTCGCCACGGCCAGGTAGGAGATGCCAACACCAAACAGAGACCCTTCTGGGGCTGAAATGAAATCTGCCCTCCTAGAGCTTTACTCACTGACCCTGGTTTGGTTTTCTAGAGTGAGCAGAGCGTCCCCACTCACGAGTCAGGCACCCCAGGAGCTGGGGAGGAGGCAGGCAGCAGGCTGGACCACCACATCTGGCGGCAGCCCGCTCAGGAGGATGGGGCCAGGGCTCTGTAGCCACAGTGTCGCTAAGACTGACCCCTGGGATGCCCCCACACCGGGCCCTGGCCCGGGAGGCGAGCTGGTACCCCCTCTCCATTCCATGCACATGAAACCTCCGCCCTTTCCAAGTGCTATCCCTAGACCCTAGCCCTTGACACGCTAACAACCCGGTGTGGAAAGGATCATCTCCTTCTGCAGATGGGGAGACCCACATGCCTGGCCCTGAGCCCGAGGTGGCATCAGGGCTGGTCCTAGGGAACTGGCTGTGCACCCTGGGGGACGGGGTGTCCCACTGGGGCTAGGGACCTGGGAAGGTGAGACCTGGATGGAGCAGGAGGCCCCGGTGCCTCGTGCCCCCAGGAATCCTGCGGCCCAGGCCCACCAGGGCTCCAGCACACCCGCTTGCTCCGGGAAGCCGCATCCGCGGGGCCCCTGGTGGAAGACAGCGTCTTGCAGCCCAGGTAACAGCCCATCTCTGACAAGCTCTCAGCGCCGGGCCGCGTCCTGAGCCACAGAGGAGGCCCTCTCTCATCACCGTGTGGCTGATGGCCTCCTGAGGGGGCCTCTGGGAGCCCAGGCCTCCCTAGGATCTCATGTTTCTGAGAGCCATGGCCTGACAGCTCCGAGGCGGAGATCACATCTCACTCTGAGCACAGAGGAGGCACCTGTATATGGGGGATGGGGAGCCAAGGGTCAGGGAGGGCTTCCTGGAGGAGGGGACACTCCAGTTGGGTTTGGAAAGACCAAATTGGGGTGGGGATGGCAGAGAACAATGGGTGTGCTGGCAGGGGTGGGGAAAGGAGGTCAGCAGGAAGAATCAAGAAGCTGCAGGGTGGGCCCTGGGGAGATGCTCTGTGGAGTGGGTCAATCTAGGGGCATGGAACCTTCCCCCTGGGATCCCACTGCCCAAGTCCAGGCGAGGGGACTGTCTGGTCTGCAAGTGGGACTGGGGCAGGGGGAGAGGTCCCGGCCAGACCCATAGATCCCCCTCTAGCTCCTTGCACTCAAAGCCCAGTGCTCCGATCTGGGCTGCCCCGAAAGGTGGGGGTTTCCAGGAAACAGCTCACTCCTGACATTCCACCATTAGAGATTCATTCCTTTATGTCCTATAACCTTCCTGGAGTCTGGGAGCACCTGTAACATCCTAGGCACGTGGTTTCAAGTATTCAATAAAAGCGAACACTTCCTACAGAAAAACTTCCAATGGAAGGAGCCCTAACATGCAAAATGGACAAACAGGAAGCGCTCTGGAGGGGCGCATGGCTTGAACCCCAGAGCCCACAGCGCTCCCTAGGCCGGCTCCTCGCCTGAGGTCTCTGGACAGTGTGAGCCCTAGAGGCGCTGGGGGCCTACGAGCCCTCATGTTCTAGTACACGATGGGCAGCTTACGGTCTGTAGGCCCGGAATGGTTTTTACATTTTTAAGTGGTTTAAAAAAAAAAAAATGAATAGAGTATGACATGACACATGCAAAGTATATGAAATTCAAACTTCCGCATCCATGAATGATGCGGTGCCGGCTCCGGCCACAGCCTCTCCTTTACCCACCGTGTCACGGCTGCTCGGGAGCTGCAGACCTCCGCCTGCAGCCTGTGAGCCTCGCCCGTCCGGCCCTTCAAGAGGAAGTTCGCTAACGCCCTGGTCTAGATGTGCCTTGTTTCCCGGGAGAACAAAGTCCCCAGGAACGCCTCGGCCCCACAGGTGGCAGAAGGCTGCCCCCGCCTCCCCAGGCGGCAGCCCGAGGGGCAGGCCCGATACTCACATGACAGCCCAGCCCAGGTAATTGGCCGTGCTACCCCAGTACATGGGATTGTCCAGGACGTTGAATGGGAACGTGGTCACCCTGGCCTCCTTGAGGATCCCGAAGTAGTCGCCTGTGGACGAGGAGAGGGAGGACTGGGGGCTCACAGCCTGGCCACACAGTTCCTGAGGGAGGCTCCCCGGGGGGCGGGGCGGGACACCTCGAGATCTGCCCTCCAGGAGGCTCCAGGCCAGCCAGGGAGCTGGTTTTACCACATCAAGGGACACGCTGGGCGCTGGGCCCACTCAGGCCACAGGCATGCAGACGCCTCAGAGGGCCTTCCCACCCACCATATGCTCCTTTCCTCTGCCTTTGCACATGCTGTTCCCTCTGTTCGGGATGTTTGTCCCTGCTCTCCGTCCAGCCAGCAGCTTTCCTCCTTTGGCATTTCTCCCTTAGCTCACGTCACCTCCTGCAAGAGACCCTTCCACTATTGAAAGCAGGCCTGTTGGGACGCCTGGGTGGCTCAGTCGTTAAGCGTCTGCCTTTGGCTCAGGTCATGGTCCCAGGGTCCTGGGATCGAGCCCCGCGTCTGGCTCCCTGCTCTGCAGGAAGCCTGCTTCTCCCTCTCCCACCGCCCCCGCCCCCCCGGCTGTGTTCCCTCTCTCGCTGTGTCTCTCTCTGTCAAATAAATACATAAAATCTTTAAAAAAAATAATAATAATTGCCGTTGTAAAAAAATATATAAATAAAATGAAAAATTTCAGTTGTAGATATATTCAAAGAGCCCCCAAAGATACCCAATGGCAAGTGAGCCTCTCCCTCCACTCCTCTCAGCTCCCTCCTTGTCCCCAAACTGCGTCATACTCCATTTCATGATGATGCCATCATATCTTTCAACACTTCCCTGCTCAAGGACACTTGCAGTGTTCCTGGCATTTTGCCACGGCAGTCAGTGCTGCAGTGACCCTGTTTGTAAATGGCATCTTGTGAACTCTGAGTAAATTTCTAGCAAAGAGACATGTGAACTTAAAATTTCGATCACTGTTAGCAAATCAGTAAGAATGCGCTAGTGTGTGCTAGCAGCAGCATGTTTGCATCTGTTTGCCCATATCCCTGCCATCACCTTTCAACTTTGTAACTGAGGCTAATCTGATAGGTCAGAAATGATGGGTTGAATTGATCTGTGTCTCATTTTATCAGGTAAAGCATCTTTTCATATGCATCTTCTTATGTCATTTGTATTTGTCCCCTGTAAACTGCCCATTTTCTATAAGGTCGTCCCTCTTTTAATGAACTCCTTGTACAGTAAGGAAAGCGTGCCTTTGCCGGGTTAGTGTATTATAAATATTTCCCCCAAGTTGTGGCTTTTCTGTTGACGTTGTTCCTGGGTTCTTTTGTTTGTTTTTGTCATTCGGAAGCATATCATTTTATGCAGGCAGATTTGTTTTGCTTTTCCTTAATGGCTTCTGGATTTTGGTCCTAGTTAGCAAGGCCTTCCCACCCTAATAAAATGACAAACATCAACCTCTTTTTCCTAGGACTTTTATAGTTTCATTTTTCACTTTCAATTCCTTTTTTTTTTTTTTT